CGGGGCGGTTGTTTGTTTTTGGGTGCTAGTATGTATCGCCGCCCCTAGAACCAGTCCTTGGGGAGGGAGGAGTACGTTTAGCAACCGACCCTCATCAGGGGATATCAGGGACCATACGACCGACCACCATTCATTGAAAGTATCTACAATCTCAGGGTTGGAGCGGAAAGGAATATAAGAATTGGAAATTATATACGTGGTGAGCTGGGAGATATAAGAAGGGATTGAATTAGGAAGGACTCGTCGGTCGGGACTTTGAAATATTATTTGGGGACATGCGACGGGTCCAGGGATACCTTGGCAACAGCCGAACTGGCGCGCCATGAATTGAGGTTCATAGTTAAAAGTGTAAAAAGTTTTCTGCCCTTTTTTATCAAGTTTCTTACTACTAAAAAGAGACCTGGGTTTGAGGGCGACGTCCCAGGCGAAAGGATAAGTGGGATGAGGACAAGGCTCAGGAGTCGGAAGCGGGTTTGGTACTGGAAAGGGCCAAAAATGGTCGGGAGCATAACCCGCATACTTTTTATACATAGAAAATCGAGAGTTACTGCGGGTATCTGTTAAAATGGCAGTTATTATTGGATCAGACGATTGGAGTTTATTGCGTCCTGAGCAGAGTCGGTTGAGGACTAATCCTAAATGTTTTTCAGATGTTGGCATAGTGGGCGGAGATCCTAAGTTAAACGCGTTGGGGAAGTAAAGACGGAACCAAAGTTCTAAAAACCAAAAAGGACCCGACGCGGCAGTGTCTAATTTCCTATTATCGTTATCTGTTAAACGAAGGCTAACCCTGGTGAGTCCTTCAAACAGATTGGCTAAAAATAGGGTGCCAAGGGAGAAGAACCGACCTGACGCAATATGAATGGCCAGGTCGAGATGGGAAGGAAGAACACTTTTGGAAGGAGAAACAATGATGTACCTACAAAGCCAGAACAGAATAAAGGCAGTATGCTCCCGGTCGGTTACAGGAGTCCCTGGAGCCCCTTGCTGGTCGGTTGCGAACTTTGTCCAACCCCATTCCTTCACACCTTGTAAAGACCATCCCGGATGGTCTTCTGATGGCTCCTGCCCATCTAGGGCTCCCATTACAGGGTCTTCACCCACGACTGGGAGATGTGCGATCATGGCCACGTCCATAAGAGTTGGGCCAAAGGGGGCCGAGGGCAAAAGGAAAGTCCCATTTTCCGCATTCCAGAAGGCGGACATGGCCAACAGCACCTTCTCATGCAGGTTGATAGGCATGGTAGACAGTAGTATTGCTTGGTCGATCTTTTGGGATCGCCATTGGGTCTGGAAGTGTTCTGCTACTCGTCGATACCAAGCACGATACAGATCTTTTGGGTCTGTGAGATGGGTCTTGATGCTGTCTCGGATGCGAACTGCTTGGTAGTTGGGATTGTTGATAGCCAAGGCGTTGCGAGATTCCAAAACTTCCCTCATCCGATTTGAATCTTCAGGAGTAGTGCAATATGGACGGATCGTCGGAGTTAGTACTTTCGAGGCTAAAAATGGACCTTCTGGAAGGGTTCCGTCGAAAGGAAGGGCAGGAATGTATTGATTCGCCATAGTTAGAATGTTTTGGGATTGTGATTCACACAGGCTTGTATTGCGAAGAAGGAAAACCAGGAGTGTTGCAGTAACTGGTGTAGTTGCTAAGGGAGTTTTTCAAGAAGGTAGTGCTTTATGAACTTCCAAACATTTATTGGCGTTTGAAAGTTCCTTGGCGGCGGGCAAGTTGTTACGTACGAAATTTAGAATTAGGTTAAAAGCCCAAGGTAAAACGAGGAATGGGCCTGGCAATAGGGTTGATTGAACTGGCTGAAGGATACCGTGAGGAAATCAAGGAAAATAAATTTATTTATTTATTTCTAAGGAAAATTCAAGACGGAAAGACCTCAAGTCGGAAGGTCTTCAGGTCGGGAGGCCCTCAAGATGAAAGACCTCAAGTCGGACGGTCTTCAGGTCGGGAGATCCGCAAGACGGAAAGACCTCAAGTCGGAAGGTCTTCAGGTCGGGAGGTCCGCAAAACGGAAAGACCTCAAGTCGGAAGGTCTTCAGGTCGGGAGGTCCGCAAGACGGAAAGACCTCAAGTCGGAAGGTCTTCGAGTCGGAAAAGTTGTCGAGATAGGATATCCGCAGGTCGGGTAAGCTGTAGGTCGGATAGAAGGCGGAGTCGGACAAACGCGGAGGCCTTTGATCAAAGACAGGGGGCGGTTGATATGGAGGTCGGCCCAAGTGGGGTCGGGCGAAGAAGTAGGTCGGACGAAAGACGAAGTCGGGCCAAAAGAGCGGAAGGTTTGTGGTCGGCTCAAGGAGCGAAATATAGGGAATTTTGGTCTGCTGGGGACACGTGTCAGCATGAGAAAGGTTGGAAGACGGTTGAGAAGGAGACGTTGTAACCGTTCGGGTGACGGTTTTCAGTACGGTTTCCCAGAGAATATTTAAGGATTTGGATCATCATTTGGCAAGGCATCTTCAATCAACTTCAACAAAGCAAAGTCAGATTTGGGGATCACCACTTTAAATTTCAGTCTTTTATTTTCCAGTTTAGTTTCTGTACCGTTACAGTGTTTAGAGATTCCTAATCTCAGGCACTAATTAATCAAGTTTAAGGATATTTTCTATGTCTTTGAATTTTACTTTATTTTTGTTGAAAAAATACATCAACAAATATATAAAGAATATTTCAAAGAAAAGATAAAAAAAAAAAAAAAAAGGGCAGTAGCATTATTTTAAATTGAATTCAAGAGTTGGACTGATGCGATGGTCGTTGCAAGGAATTGTTGCCAAACGGCGTCGTATTTCGTTCATAGTAAATCAAAGGCGTCTGTCGATGTGTTTCCATTACACTAGGACAGATTTTTAGGTATCAAAACTAGACACTCAACTGTATCTATATGTAGTACACGTGGCGGCTATACATATGTCTGAATATTCATCCTACGTGGCAATGGAAAACTCAAATATTCCACACGAATCGGAGGTCGAAGGCTGTGTGTGTGTTTCTTTCAATTTATATTTTAAATTTAAATAATGGAAAAAAAATTATTTTTTGTTCTACTTTAAACTGCAATAAGCAATTTCGGAGTTATTCAAAAATTTTGATTTTTTTTTTTTTAAAATTCAAAAGCAGATCTAGAGATATTTCAATACAAAAACAAAGAATTTGTACTCTAAAACCCACCTACAAAATAATCACACACTTTATTACATTAGAAATATAAAGAACATTCTCATTAAAAATTCTATATCACATACTTAACACAAACCAAACTTTACCTTATTTTACATCAATTTATATATATATATATATTTATAACCATAACCTTACGGTCTAAAATTCATTTTCCACACCACAAGATCATTTCTTACATGACATATATAGGTTTGCATACAAAGACACAAAGCCAGTCCACATTAGTACATATCCATTAAAATTTAGCACACAACTATTGTAACATTTATCATACATCTTATCAATTGTAAGCACTCAATTTTTCACAAAGCTCATTATTCTTGCACACAACTTATTCAAAGAGAAAAATACAACCTAAAATAGGCACTACTAGGAAAATAATAAAATTGACCCACTTCTTAGTTCTGCCCACCGAATTCGGGTCAATATTTTATTTCGTCTGTCTCAAATCCTTTAACCCAAAGTGTAACCCATTTTGTTAGTTAGTTATAGAAATTAGTTTCATCGATTAAAAATGTATGGGAGGTGTTGGAGTTGGTAAAGAAATTAGTCACACAATATTTAGGTATAGAAACCGTGAGAGAACTTGATAGCGAGGGAGAATGAGAATGAACATAGAGGATTTTGTGTGTATGTCATGGTCAATGTCCCCGGAAATACCAAAGCAAGCCTCGTACAAATAGAACATATCATGTAAGATATCACAAGAGTTGTCGTCTTCAACCAATGAAAACAATTTCTTGATTGTTTCCCATTCTCCGAACTTTCATATTCAGCTTTGCGATGCTAGGCATTATATACTCACACCTTCCTCTTATAGACGTGTTCAAAAGCTCAACACTATTGTCATCCGCGAGGCTAATTATGAATAAGAATGATTTTATTTAATCGGCGTAGAGGTTTCCGAGATAAATTTTACCGTTGTAAGAGATACAAGCAAGAATCTTGAAAAGATTGAATTCGAAAAACGACATACATAGAAATGTTCATTTCAACTCGAGCGAACCTTTAATTTTAACTATGATGTCCAGTTACGCCTGATAGAATCATCGTTGTCACATTATCCACACTGGTACAACCGTGCTCTCGTATACCTTGTTTTGGTCATTGACATCGGTGAAAATGACTATCAACTCTTAGATGTGGTGAAAGAAGTTGTCAATAGTTTCGTTTAGGGATGGGATCTTCAGCCTTATCTTTTTTATGCTCCTCATCCAAAGTGATATATATACTATTTGTATATATATATTATATGTAAATATATATATATATATATAATATGTGTATAGTGGATAGTGGCCATTAATAATAAGTTGAAATTAAGCTAAGCATTGTGTATCTAACTATATATATATATATATATATATAGACACACATACCATTGATCATTACTATATTTTGATGCATGTTTGGTTTGAATTTCATTGATGATATGAGTATCCTACGTTCTTGTTTCCATCCAAAGGTTTTATAATTTATTATGAGTTAATTAAAATGGTTCTAATTTATATGCATGAAATTATTTTGAATGATCTTAATTATTTTGGCCAAACACCATTGGAGCAGTCATTTGTGTGTAAATGTGTGAGAAGTTCTTACATACCTTGCAAGGTTGAACCCTCATTGTCTTAACTTCATTTTCTACCCAGCAATAATTTTCTCAGTAAACATTATAAGTTAGCAATTAAAAAGATAACAATAAATTAAAAACATTAAATATATACAACACTAAATTAATGTGGGAATGAATAATTGCCCTAATTATATAAATCAAACACATCAAATAATCACACACATACATATATTAAGAAGTAGCTATCCTCTTCAAAACCCTTTCAAGGGCAAGATCAAAACCGTCCCTAAAATCCAACAATCCTCCCATGGGATCACCATAAATTATCCTCGGAATTATTGTCTCGATCACCTTCTCCCTCATCCTTAAGATCTCCTCTTTACCATACTTCATTAGGACATTCTTCACCGGCGAAGTCCCATTCCACACTGCTCCGTGATCTATGAACACAGAGAAGCTCTCTGGTTTTTCCGGCAAGAACCCCTCGTACTGATCGTAAGCCGTCCCGGTCCAGAAGAAAACCGGAACCGAACCGGCCAACATGCAGTCGAAAACCGACTTGCGCGTGAAACTATCCCCCGCCGGCTGCAGGCAGAAGTCGGACCCTAGCAGTGCCTCCACCGTCGCTGATGAGTCGCCGTCGCATCGGACGGCGGCGCAGTCGACGAGCCAGCACGAATCTGTGTAGTTCAGGCAGTGGCTCCGGAGGTGCCCCCGGAGATCCTCCTTGGCGGAGGGGCGCGTGGCGCCGATGAAGGTGAAGAGGCGCGTGCGGGTCCGGGTACGGACGAAGTCCTGCCATTGGGCGACGGCGGTTAGGGTTTTGGGGTGGAATCCGGTGGGGTAGGGTGCACCGAGCTCGAGTGGGTCCCACGTGGCCTTCTCGATGATTATACGGGTCACGTTTTGCATCGCCGGCATGTTTAGAAAGGCGGAGCCCCACCCGTTTGCGGATCGGGTCGGGCGCCGGAAATCCCACGTGATCCGGCCGAGCGTGAGGAAGTGATCTGAACCGTCGGATCTTCGCCGGTACTGTTTCTTCCGCAGCCACTTCAACAGCATTCTGCAGCGGCGGTCGCGTCTGGGGAGGTCGTTGGACCAGAGGTACTGCTCCACCGCCATTCCGGCGTAGAACGGGATGTAAAACGCCGCGGCGGACGCCGGATTCCTGGTGCGGCATCGGTGGCGGAGGATCCGGTGGTGGAAAATCACCTCCAGGGAGAATTGATTCGTCCGGTACCACGATTGGATCAGATTCTCCGGCATGATTCCCCGGAGCTCCTCCGCCAGCCGGCCGAAGCCGTGATTCGTTGCAACTTCGCACTGCCAGCGATCGGAATTCGAATTCCGGCAACCTCGCGCCAACAAGCCTTTGTTGAATCTGGACGGAAGGTCGTACACGTACACTCTGCCGTACGGACATTCTTCAGCGGTTTTGTTAACGGCGGCGGAGATGGAGACTATACTGGTGGTCCGGCCTGGGGAACGCGGCGGTGAATAGCGTGTGAGCAAAACGACGACGCATTGAAAGAAGAAGAGAGCGAACAACAGCCTAATAACCCAAGTCAGACTTGCGTTGATGAAGTGTAAGGTTATCTGCGGTTTCTTCTGATTTTGGACGTCCGGCGAGTCGGCGGCGAGCATTGTCGAACTGAGCGTAGAACAATAAAGAGAGAATTGTACAGAAAGAAAAGGAGACGAATGTGAACCGTATCGGCAGCGGAGACGAGAAGACACGGACTGAAACGACGTCGGATTGGACAGATAGCATAACCTAGTAATTGATTTCGATGGATGAAATTGACAGGCAATTTTTGCCCATATTAGCATGTAGGATATTCACATTACTGCAGTAAGGATTTTGGAAAGTTAATGAAAGTCAATTTATTTATTTGTATTAATTGAAGTAACCAAATTAAAGAAAATTGACCAATTTAAAATTCTAACAACGTTTTAATTAGACATTAGTTAATTCATTTTAACCTCACCAACATCATAGGTGTGTTTCTTTAAGATTTTAATTCAATTTTTTATTTTTCTTTTGTACCCTATTATTTATCTCAGAGTTTTGTAGCAATAGGATAAGTCCAATGAAAATTGATTCGAGTGATAAAGCTTCAATTTTTTTAGTTTTTCTACTCCAATATATGGAATATTGTATTAAAGTTCGTAGGGTACATGCAAAATTTCAAGAAATATTTACAAATTTGATTGGAGTGATAAGCTTCAATTTCGACGGCTTTCCATAAAAGTTAAATAAATATACAAAATATAAACTTAGCTTTTATAAGAATCTATTTGTAGAAATTATCAACCTATTTTGTTCAAATTATAATTACTGCATTCCCATAAAATAGGATGTTTTATTTAACTACTACATCTAATTGTTAATTGTCCTTATTAATTTTTCAGATAAACTTACCGAAACGAAATTCCAGACAATAATTCTATATATGAGGAAAATTTCCCAATATTAAACTTACAAAAATAAAAATAAAAACAAAAAAGAATAAAAGAAAATAACTGGTTAACTGATTGGAAAGCAGTTATTGCCACCATATGCATGTATCGAGTAACCAAACGAGCCATACGACGTCGTTTCGGGTCTGCACTTCTTCATCTTCTTCGTTGAAACAAGAAATGTTTTCTTCCACAGATATCAACGTTGAGAAGAAACAATCCAAACACCTCAATTTCTTCCAAAGGAATTTGAATTTGAATTTGAATTCGATACAGAATTTCATTTCATCACACCCTCTGTTTTTGCTGTTGATTGCGTTTTTCGCCGTTCAATTAATCATCATCGCCGTTACCCGAAATTTACCGGCGTGTTTCCCCGATCGGAAAGCCAAAATCGCCACCGCCACCGCCGACGCCGCCGGGGATTCCAACGGCTTTCAAGCCGAATCTGACGCAGAACCGGAAGGCTACAAATGCCCCTTCGGCCAAGTGTACGTCTACGATCTTCCGTCCGCCTTCAACGACGATTTGCTATCGTCCGATTGCACCGATTTAGACCCTTACAACTGGCAATGCGGAATCGCCGGAAACCATGGCTTCGGGAGACCGGCGGCGGAACTCGTCCGAATTCTGCCGGAGAATCTTGCGAAATCGTGGTACCGCACGAACCAATTCTCGCTGGAGTTGATTTTCCACCGTCGGATCTTGCAGCACCGGTGCCGGACATCGGAGCCGGAATCCGCTGCGGCGTTCTACATCCCATTTTACGGCGGACTCGCCGTCGGGAAGTATTTGTGGGTCGACGACATTGCTAAACGCGACCGTCTCTGCAACGAGATGCTGGATTGGGTCACGAGCCAGAAGTTCTGGAAAAGATCCAACGGCTCAGATCATTTCCTTACGCTGGGCCGCATCACATGGGATTTCCGGCGGCTGACCGACCCGAAAAGTAAATGGGGCTCCAGTTTGCTCAACTCGCCGGCGATGCGTAACGTCACGCGCTTCATCATCGAGAAGGCCGACGACGACGACCACGACGTCGCCGTGCCGTACCCGACGGGATTCCATCCTAGTAGCCGCCGGGATCTCAATCGGTGGATGGATTTCGTCCGCGGCCGCGACCGTAACCGCCTGTTCACATTCGCCGGCGCCGCCCGTCCGACGGCACAACCGGCGGTGCGCGGGATTCTGCTTAACCAGTGCCGGAATGAATCGGAGACCTGCTGGCTGGTGGACTGCGCCGCCGTGCCGTGCGCCTCCGACGCGTCGGAGACGATGAGGGCTCTTTTGGGGTCAGAGTTCTGCCTCCAGCCGAGCGGCGACAGCTCGACCCGGAAATCGGTTTTTGACTGTATGGTTGCCGGTTCGGTGCCGGTTTTTTTCTGGAACAAGACGGCGTACGATCAGTACGAGGGGTTCCTCCCCGGAGATGCGGAGAGCTACTCAGTGTACATAGACCATGAGTTGGTGAAGTCCGGGAGCTTGCGGGTGAAGGAAGTCCTGATGAAGTACAGCAAACAAGAGATCAGGAAGAAGAGGGAAAAGGTGATAGAGACAATTCCGAGGTTAATATACGGAGATTTTAATGAGGGAATGTTGGATTTCAGGGATGCATTTGACGTAGCCATTGAAGGAATTTTGGAGAGGATAAAGGAGGAGAAAGAATGGGTTGGCTTTTTGTAATTAAGATTAATTTTATTTTTGAATTTTGAAATTTTTAGTGTAAATTAAGAAATATTACCACCCATTAATAATGGGTAACAAAGCATATTAAGAAAACTAAATTAATTAGGTCTCCTAATTACAAAATAAGAAAAATAATAATAACAAACAAAAATAATTTGACATACCCATATTGATTTACTTACCTAAATCAGGTAAATTCAAGATGTTAAGAACAAATAAATTAAACAAAATAATTACAAAAATGTGTTCCTAATATTTCATAGCATAAGTAAATTAAGTGATTGTTTTTCCTTCTTTATACTCTCCAAAACCCTATCAACAGCAAAATCAAAAGCATCCCTAAAATCCAATAATCCCATTTTAGGATTCCCATAAATTATTCTTGGAATTGCCTCTATAACTTTCTCCCTTTTCTGCGTAATTTCTTTCCTGTATTTCACCAATTCTTGCTTTATTGAAGAACTCCCATTTCTTATTACATCCGGTTCAATGAAAACCGAGAAGCTCTCCGGATCGGCCGGCCAGAACCCACTGTACTGATCAAAACTCGACCCCTTCCAGAAGAAAACCGGTATCGAACCGGCTATCATGCACTCAAAAACCGTCCGGCCGGTGAACCCGTCCCCTAACGGTTCCAGGCAAAACTCGGACTCTAAAAGCGGTTGTATAACCAATGAAGTGTCGGTCGAGCATTGAACCGGGTTGCAGTCGACGAGCCGGCACGAACCGGACGATTCGTTGCGGCAGTAATCGTGTAGAACCGTACGGAACCCTTGGGAGGATGCGCCGTGGACCCCAGCAATGAAGGTGGAGAGGGTGGAGCGATTGTAGTCACGCGCGAAAGCCATCCAACGGTGGAGATCTTTCCCGGTGGTGGGGTGGAATCCGGTGGGGTACGGTGCACCTACGTCGTAGTCGTCGTCCCATGCCTTCTCGATTATCAGCCGTCGGATCTTCTTCATCTCCGGCATGTTCAGAAACGCCGATCCCCACTTCTGCTCCGGCTCCGTCATCCGCCGGAAGTCCCACGTGATCCTCCCGATCGCCGTGAAATGATCCACGCCGTAGAGATAATCGTTCCAGTGCTTCTGGCTCATGATCCAACGGATCATCGATCGGCAATCGGAATCGCGGACGGACGGATCGACGGACCGGAGGTGTTTTCCGACGGCGAGTCCGGCGTAGAACGGGATGTAGAACGCGGCGGCGGACCGGTGATCCGCCGTGCGGCAGGCGTAATGAAGGATCCGACGGTGGAAAATCAATTCCAGAGAGAATTGATTAGTGCGGTGCCATAAATCGGCGAGATCCTCCGGGAGGATGCGGCTGAGCTCGGTGGCGCGGCGGCCGTAGCCGCCGTCGACGGCGATCCCGCACACCCAATTCCATGGATCCAAATCGCTGCAGTTGTAGACGAGCAGGTCCTCGTTGAACGCCGGCGGAAGATCGTGGACGTACACTCGGCCGTAAGGGCATTCTTCAGTGTAAAGCGGCTGAGCGATTGTTTCGTCTTCTCCGGCGATTTTCTGAACTCTGACGGAGACGCCGGTGGTTCTGTACGAGGAGAACGGCAAGGAATTGCGAAGAGCGACGTAAATGAAGAGACCCGGAGTTGCGAGGAAGACGATGAATAGCCAAATGTTGAGGATTTGGATCGAAATAAGACATCTGTTAATGATATTGAGAGGGTTGGGGAGTTTGTGGTGGAATTCAACCGCCGGAAAGTTCGCCTGAAACATAGTCGGTGCGGCGACGGAACTGATCAGCGGAGACGCCGATTGGCTGCGGAAGAAATGGATATTATATTATAGATGTGTATATAAATAGTGCCATTGTGAATCTTGCTCATCTGTTTTAAGAATATAGTAATAAGCATTTTAGGGTTTGCTTTTTTTTTTTATTTATTAATAATTATTATATATGCGTATCATAATTTTATGAAATATTTAAAAGATTATAAAGATTATTTCAGCCATACAATAATACTATTATCTAAAATATTTTTACAATTTCTAATATAGAAAATTCACAAGTTTTAAAATACTAATTAACACACAATCGAAATTTATTCATTTAAAATTGTTTTTTTAATATTAATTGAGTGTATTATATTCAATAAATTGGTAATGTATGATAGACAATACCCCAAAAATATAGAAAGTTTGAATCTACCTTTACACCAAAGGTCATCCTTATGGGAAAAAAATTAATAATAATAAAATATTATGATTTATTTATTCACCATTTACCTTAAATGGAAAAAAAATAATTCTTATTTAGCCAAAATTCATAATAGGAAATATTCTAAAAGTTTCTTTCTTTATATGCAGGTATTTTGGTAAATCTTTTATATTAATATGTAAAATTATTTCAATTATATAAAAATTAATATTTTAGATTAAACAATTATAGTATATATATATATATATGTATTTGTAAAGAAATAGGGTATACCATAAAATATTGAATGAGCGAAGCTATGCTTTTATTTTGGTTTATAATAATTATAAGTAGATGTAATATGAAATAATTTTTCTCCATTTGTTATCTAATTTTATTCCTATTTTCTATTTTCATAAAAAAAATTTGTTGTTGGTCTTTCAGTAAAAAATAGACAATTTTTTAATGAGATATAACAACAAAAAAGCAAAAATAAAAACAAAACAAAATAAAAAAATACATATTCATATTAAAACATGCGGCAAAAAAAAATAAATATGAGCATATAAAAATATGAAGTAGTGTATGATTGTATTTTTTTCAAATATAAAATTATTTTTTAAATTGAATATAAACATAAATATTTAATTTAATATTTTTAAAAATTCTATGCATAAACTAACAAAACTTTGAGTAAAAAATTAAAAAAAAACCTCTATTAGCTATATCTTAATTGACAAAATTTACTTTAAAAATGAGAATAGTAATTACTACACAATGACATTAAGGGTGTGTTCGTTTGTAGGATTTAATCTAAATTCTACTATTCATCCAAAAATTTCCCCCCAAAAACATCAAATCAAACACCTATTTTTCATTTTTTATATTATATTAAAAATCAATTTTACATTCAAAACATCACATCAACACCTATTTATATCACATCATACAACTATTCAAATTTAAAATTTTTACTATTCAAATCTCAACTCAAACGAACCTGATGGAGGCAGCATGGATACTGTCATATTTTTTTAGTTTTCAAAATTTATTCGTGTGTGTGTGTTCTTTTTTTTTTTTTTAGTTTTCAAAATTTATATGCTTTGTTTTTTTCATCCCGTTGCTCCAATGGTCGATAACACCTGGTCACCATCGGATGTTATTGCCGAAATAACATATACGGGGACTCTTCATTCTTATATCTAATATCCATTTGAATCAACTTAAAAAAATAAGTAAAAATAAAAAAATAAAATTAGAAGCATAAGTTATAAAAGTACTTTTTTTATGAGAAAAAACTCATTTGAATTTAATAAATTTAAAAGTGATTTTAAAATGTTAAACTTACCAGAAAGAACATGCTAATATAAATCAATTGTTTATGGAAGTTCTTGGAAATTTTGGTCGTTTAAAGTTTAATTCAACAAGCTCCTCGAAAATATAATAGTTGATCTATATCTTAATTCGGCTTACCGGACTCAGTCCAAACCCTCTAACCAAATCCTTATTCCCTTAGCCTAGTTCAAATCCAAACCCAAATCTTAAACTCATATCCTTTTAGCCCAAGTCCAATTGTTCTAAGATAGGTTTTATTTAAGGTTTGAGCATTGAGGAGTTAGTGTCTAAAACCCATGTGAAATGTTAGAACCATAGAGGTAAGAGGGGTTTTGGAAAAAAATTTCCTACTAAAGAAAAAGAGAGAATCCTATAGAGAGGGTAACGGAGAGTTGAGAGGTTTTTCTTGTGGATTTCCGATGAGTTCTGAGAGAGTTTCAATGAGGGTTTAGAACTCTTCTTTGTGCCGATTTCAGAAGGTGTCGTGGCTTAGAGTGAAAAGCCAACCTCTAACTTTGAGCCATGGTTACCTCCGGCTATTTCGTACCAAGCTAAAAAATTCGGTAAATTTATTTAATAGATAAAATTTAGTTATGAATTAAATTCGTAATTTTTGGAACTGATTATTCAGTAAGTTGAAATGTACGTGGGTTGTATGGTGGTTATTAATAGTATGGTTACATATATGAATACTTGGTAAGTCAAATACACGCGTGCTACCCGCTTGATCAGATAATGATACAAGTGTACACCTGTATGAGATTTGTATCGAGTTAAAAGTCTTGGTAGTGATCGTGAATTTGAGCTTTAAGTTTGGTGAATACTAGATTTGACGTAGTCTATTATGTTCTGAAATCAAATCAAAACAAAAAAAATATTTTGTTAATGCCAAAGGAAATATATTTTTGTGGACAAAAAGTATAGCTCAGAAATTATAATTACATACGCTGTGTATGATAAATAACTATTTAAAATTTAAAAATTCAAATAATATATTAATGATTGTAATTAAATTTAGTGTTCGTGAACGAATGTTAATGAACTCTTTATTGGCGGTTACTGGCCATTAAATGCCGATGGTTTCGACTTGAAACCAAAACCCCCAAAGGATGAAGTGTTACCACCAAATTTTCCAAAGTCATTAAGGAGAGTTTTCTCTCTTCTCTCATTCTCTAATACTTTCTTCTCCGGAAAGTTTTCCTATTGTACTTTCCAGAAACTCTCCTTTCGCTAAGTCTCTCAACATAGCTCAGATTCCGGAGCTTTGGAATATTGGGGTATCATTTAATCTGAAGACGAATGTCGTTTTATCTTTGAAAACATTACGTCATGAACCAGAGGCACTGCCGGAGTGTATGATTTTGTATAACGAAGTTCTACCTCAACTCAGATATGATTATCAAATTTATTTCGATAAATTATTATGATTATTGAATTTTATTTTTTTGATAATTCCTTGATATAAGTAAATTTTATTTTGACTATTGTAATTCTTCGTTAGAGTAAATTATTTTCTAATAATACTTTATTGGTTCCTTAAAAAATGATTCATTTTTTTTTTTTTTTTTTTCATCCTATATAAGATGATATTTTTCTATTTTTAGTAAATTTAATAAATATAAATTAATTAAATTAAATTTCAAACTTCTTACCCATAAGATCCATTCAAAATTCTTTAATTCTATCTTTCTCCTCTATATATGTATATATATTTTTTAATTTATATTTAAAACTATTCATTTTTTATAAAATTAATTTATATTAATTATAGATAAATAAATATTTTTTTTATTTATATATATTATATAAATTTTATTATTTACAAAATGATATTCTTATTACATATATATTTTACTGAAATATAGTGTTTAAATACCTGTTTAAATTTTTTTAATCATATATATTCATTTTTATTATAAAAATAATAATACCACTTATATAAAAAAATAATAAAATAATATTATAACTATTATAATTAAGGTATTAAATTACACTATCTAAAATACGATATCTCTAACCAAATGAGTCATTTTACCATGAAGAAGGGAGTACATTATATGCAAATAATTTATTAAATAAACATCAAACTGACAACCATAATCAATTTCCGAAAAGCCCACCCATTATTTTTATTTAACCATTCTACAAATGAGAATTATTTCCATTTTCCAGATTGGATCAGAAGTATGGGCCGGCCCATTATTTGAAACAGAACTATGCTGGATATTAGATTATACGCCCAATTTTTAAGGCCCGTCAATGCAGCCATTTTTAGAATATTCCCCTAACATTTCAACCTCTAATGTAAATAATTAATATAAAAACAATTTTATTTTTCAATATCCAATAATAATAATAATAATAATAATAATAATAATATACAAATAAGTAAACAAATAAAGGGACACGTGGTTCAGGTTTTTGGCACGTGCAAGAGTGTGCGTATGGATACATTGAATCTTTGTAGTATCACCTTCGGAAAAGATTCGACCACAAATTAGTAGTAACATTTGATATAAATGGGTTCCGGATTTGGCGTCGATCCAATCAAATTAGCCTAATATTGATTTGATCGAGTCACCATATCACATAAAAATTATATATTTTTGTAAAATATTTATGATGCAATATATATTATTTCCTCCGTACCATAACAAAGTATTCATTTTTTCATTTTACTTTGTCTTATAACAAAGTATCAATTTTCTTTTTTAGTAGTTGTACTATCTATCTAACACTACAAATATCCTTACAACTTACAATATATTACACAGATGTCATTACTTTTGTATCACACAATACTAATAAAGTTATTTTAGTTATTTCTAACTTATTTCAACTACATCCCGATATAATACTAATATTTCTAAAATTCAGTGCAAAAAGCAAACAAATACATAATTATGGAACGGAAGAAGTATTATGTTATAACTCATGATATGATATTCTATAACAAAATATATATATTGTATTATTGTATATCGTTTTTTGATCGGAATATTGTTGTATATCTTTAATTATATGATATGCTGATGTATAACAATAAATAGGTGTTGATGTGATGTTTTGAATGTAAAATTGATTTTTAGTATAATATAAAAAAATAAAAAATAGGTGTTTGATTTGATATTTTTGGGGAAAATTTTTTGAATGAATAGTAGGATTTTATCAAAATCCTACAAACGAACACACCCTTAGAAAATCTTAAAATAATAAACAAATTAATATTTATTGTAATAATTTG